TCAAGAGGAGGTTAGATAACCATCTAGCTGGGGTCATCTAGACCCAGCACTCTTTTTCCTGCCTATGCAGGGGGTTGGACTCGATAATCTATTGAGGTCCCTTCTGACCCTAGCATCTATGAACTTGAGTATTACAGCACTTTGAAAATACAAAGACTTGATGCACTGAGGTTGACACTTCTGGCTGCTTTTACATACGTTGTAGGCTTGTGTGTGTGTGGCAGTAACTGGGCCCAACCTTTACACTTCCCTCTAACACAAAGACAGATGGAAACAATCCTTGCCTCAAACAATTTTCATTTGAAATCAAATTGTAGGTAGGGCTGCTACCAAAGACATTCATTTGCATTTATTTTTGAGGGATTATTATAAATAGTGCCCCATCTATATCCATCAACCCAACTATCATTAACTGGCTGAATGTCAAGTACTGAGTAAAGCACATGTGGACATTAAACTCGTTATACATTCCCACCTTTTTTTTTCCTCCCCATCAGCCCTTATAGTGCTATGAATACTCCACACTGACCCACACAGGGTTAACAAATTGGCCTGGGCTCACTGAGCTCTGCCAAGGTTTCCCTGCTAACAACAGACATGTGGGAGAAAAGTTTTTTTTTCTGTTCCTCCTTAAAAAATCTTCAAGCTGTCCTCTCTTTCCATAGCCACCCGTCATATGGATTGTCGCCCCAGAGTGGCAGGGAGGGAAGAGTAGTTTTATGTTTGGTCACAGTTCTGAAGTTGAATCTATGCAGGAACAGTTCTTTACTTCTGAAGGCTTGTGTTTAGAAGGCACTGTATGCACATAGGTTGATATATCTGTGTTTATAGAGATTCATAGATTATAGAGTCGGAAGGGACCCAATGAATCATAGTGTCCGACCCCCTGCCCCTGGCAGGAAAGAGGACTGAGGTCAGATGACCCCAGCCAGGTGCCTGTCAAGTCTCTTTTTGATGACCCCCAAGTTAGGTGATAGCACCACCTCTCTTGGAAGCCCATTCCAGACTCTGGCCACCCTTACTGTAAAAAAAAACAAACCAAAAAACAAATGTCTTCCTAATGTCTAACCTAAATCTACTCTCCACTAATTTGCACCCATTATTCCTAGTTACTCCCTGGGGCGCTCTGGTAAACAGTGCATCCCCAATTCCCTGTTGTCCTCCCCTGATAAACTTATAGGCGGCTACAAGGGCACCACTCAGCCGTCTTTTGTAAAGGCTGAAGAGATCCAGATCTCTCAACCTCTCCTTGTAGGGTCTTTCATGGAGACCACTAATCATGTGAGTGGCCCTCCTCTGAACCCTTTCAAGATCCTCCATGTCCCTCTTGAAGTGTGGCGCCCAAAACTGGACACAGTACTTCAACTGCGGCCTGACTAATACCGCATAGAGGGGGAGCATCACCTCCCTTGATCTGTTGGTCATGCATCTGTTAATACATGACAAGGTGCGATTTGCTTTGTTGATGGCCTCGTTACACTGCTAGCTCATGTTCATCTTGGAGTCAACTATGACTCCAAGATCTCTCTCAGCCTCTGAGCTGCTGAGGAGGTCATCCCCAAACCCGTAGGTGTGCTGAGGATTCCTCCTTCCTAGCTGGAGTACCGTGCATTTATCTTTGTTGAATTTCATCCTATTTTGTTCTGTCCATTGATCTAACCTGTCCAGGTCGGCCTGTATCTGCTCCCTGCCCTCCTGTGTATTAACTTTGCACCATAACTTGGTATCATCTGCTAACTTGGAGAGCAAGCTCTCCACACCCTCGTCCAAATCGCTGATGAAGATATTAAATAACACCGGTCCAAGGACTGACCCCTGCGGGACCCTACTGCCCACCTCCTTCCAGCCCGAGAATGACCCGTCCACCACCACTCTCTGGGTGCGGTCCCTAAGCCAGTTAGCTACCCACCTGACTATGTAGGCGTCCACTCCACAACCCGTTAGCTTCCCTATGAGAATAGGATGCGAAACTGTGTTGACCTTCCTAAAATCCAAGTAGATGACATCGGCCTTAGCTCCTGTGTCAAGGCAGTGTGTGACCTGGTCATAAAAGGCTATAAGGTTTGTCAGGCAGGATCTACCTGTGACAAACCCATGCTGGTTTCCTTTTAGCATTGTTTCCCATGCTAGGCCTTCACAAATGCGCTCTTTGATTTTTTTTTTTTTTTTTTTCTCCAGTATTTTCCCAGGGAGTAAGACTGGCTGGCCTAAAGTTACCCAGCTCATCCCTTCTCCCTGCCTTAAAAATGGGCACCACATTGGCCTTTTTCCAGTCCTCAGGCACCTGGCCGGAGCACCATGAGAGCTCAAACAGCCGTGCCAGTGGCTCAGCAATGACACTGGCCAATTCCTTCAGCACCCATGGATGGAGGTCATCCGGGCTGGCTGATTTGTACCCATTCAGCCCCTCCAAGTGCTCTTTAACTAAGTCAGCACTAACCTTAGGCGGTCTGGTGCCTTTTGGATATCTGTCTATGCTCAAGGTGTGGGAATTGTCTTGGTCAGTATTAAGGAATACTGAAGCAAAGAACTCATTGAAGAGCTCTGCCTTTTTCTCTGCTTCAACCACCAACTCACCTGAGGGCTCCACAAATCATGCTTTGGACTGTCTGGCCATTTTAATGTTACAGGGATAAATCACTCAATATTAAGAATGAATTTGGTAGTAATGTGTATATGTGTGTGTTCATTCTCCTTTTAGGAGTGTTTATGCCCATTGGTATCGTGCTTCAGCCATGGATGGGTTCTGCAGCCATGGCAGCTTCATCAGTGTCTGTGGTGCTATCTTCCTTGCAACTAAAGTGGTAAGTTTTACACCCGCGAGTCGGTAAGTGTTGACTATATTTCATTTGGGACTCTTAAGATACTGTTTTAGGCTATCACACACTTAAAATAACCAAGCAATGCTATCTTTTGTGAGTGCTTGGTTCCAAAAAGGTATGCCCATCATTATAATGAGCAGCCTTGATATCTATTCCCATTCCAATTATCCTTTAACTAGAGGCTACAGTTTTGACTGGAACAGCTGTGTCTGAGATCCACTTAAATACCAAATGAGATGATGATCAGAGTTTTTTCCAGGGAATACCTCATGATGTCAGATCATTCAAATGTGCGTTCCATCATAATTCATCATTAATTGAAGCTTTTCAAAAAGAGTTACCAATGGCCTCACACTATCATTTCTGTCTTTAATTAAATGTTAAGTTAGTAGAGAGAAAAGGGGAAGCAAAGAAGTGGGTTTATTATACTTCACTTGGTAGCTGACAATATATTGCACTACATTTTGATGGAATTGATTCAATTGCTGAACCATAAGTAGATTGTCGGAAGTGACTAATGGAGGGGAGGGGGAGAGTGGTGCACCAGAGGGAGATGGGTGCCCAGTTGAGATTCTTTTGGAGTGGCTTGAGTTTCAGAAGGTGCTAAACACCCACTTTTTGAAAAATCAGGCTCCTTTATGATGCCTGCAGTTGCCTTTAGTAAAGCTTTGCATCAGATAATGGATAAAGAACATGTCAACCACAGCTGCGTTCTGGAAAGCATTATTATTATTATTATTATTATTATTATTATTATTATAATAGCTTCTAATATGGGAAATCTGTTCTGGCATTATGACCCTGATGCTGCAAATGCTTCAGTATTTACCCAACTTAGCTCAGGTAAACTGGCCTATTGGCTATTCAAACGAGTCAAGTTCTATGTAAGCTTGAATCATTGCAGAATCAGGATGTGTACTTATAGGATTCCTCCCAAAAATGTATTTGGAAAGTTATCCAAAACCTCTGGAGTTTCTGTAAGGCATTTTCATTGTTTTCTGTTTTTATTTATTCTTATGGTTTTATATGATATGCTAAGAAATTATTAAGGTCAAATGTTGGGGAGCCATCTAAGTCCTGTTTGATTCTGGGCTCAAGGGCACAGTATTGGCTTTTACTGTGCAGGGTTATGATCTTTGTAACCAGAGGGGCTAGGACTTAATCTTTTTAAAATAAAAGCTTAGATTCATGAAAACACAGCCACATCTGGGGAGACTTCAAAGTCCAGCATGTCTAGGCTTTTCTTTTCCCAGGGCATCATGGTGGAACTGTACTGTCAAATAAACTGCGAATGATAATGCCTGTGTTGTCGTCAAATGTTTTAGTGTTTCTTCTGCAGTGCAAGTAGTAGATAAGCATTAGAAATGTCTTCATATTTTCTAATACTGACATAGCTCTCTGCTAATGCTTCACACAGCGGTTGTTTATAAACTCTTCTATTTTTCTTTTCTCAGTTACAAGAAACCAGATGCAGAAAGTTATGAAGCCCAAGCTCAGGGCCGTATGAAGCCACTGACTCCTTCTCAAATCAGTGTTCACATTGGGATGGATGATAGGAGACGGGATTTGCTCAGACCAAGTGCCTGGGATCAGATTAGTCAAGTATCCTTCTCTTCTCTGACTTCAGACAAGCTGCCTAGACACAGTGGCTTTACAGAGGAAGAAGGGGACAAGTGGTCACTGCTCATTAATGACAGAGATGAAGAACAATACATTTAACATGCATCTCCTGGAGCCAAATAGTAAGGTGAGATAGTTCTTTGCCAGTGACAGCAATGCCTAAACCACCAAGAGTTTCATAATTACAAATGGATTCTTTTATGTTTCATTTTGCAAAGCAGCTGGAGTTCAATAATTCAGCTTCGTATTGTGTGAATGTTGATTTGTCAGGCTACAAATCACTTTCAGTCACTAAAATGTCTTGAGGCCCCCTAATGAATTAAGCCCTTAACTGCACACATTATTCACTATGCACAGTATGGCATTGGAACTTTCAAAGTCTAACATAACCGCTACCTCCCGGGTTGTTTGTGGGGAACCAAAATCCCATTCTTCTCCATCTTGCTCGTGCATCTTACAGTGATTCCTATAAGAAGCACAGACACTTTCCTCATATGCCATATTTCATTACTATGTCAAAGTGAAAACAAATGGTCCCTGTGTTTAGGGATCTTGTTCTTGGTTAAAATAAAAAATCAGAACAAGCTGTGTCAACACAGGGGCAATTTTACGGTTTGGACTGTCCTTTTCCTTAGAGTCAAAATATGTATCTGAAGATTTTCCAGGGCATAAATGTTTTGAAATTTTGTTTTAAAGGTTATCATTTACCACCATGCATTGCTGATTCTTTTGACATTGATCTCCATTTACTAAATTTCATGTCAGTACCTAACTGCTCTAATTAGATGTTCTACTTGAATCCTGGAGCCCTTTTCTTCCAGTAGAGATCGACTTCTCCACATTTCTTACATGTTCCATTTTCCCCTGTGGGACCAGATCTTACAAGCCACTAGAGACCCCTATGTCCTTTTTGAAATTTGTGAAGTCTGAGCTCCCCTCAGTTGTCTGAACTAGGAAAACACTTTATCTGCAAGCACTTTGCAGAATCCTTTGATTCTCTGAAAAATGTGGTGCTCAGCTGTTTGTCTGTGTGGCAGGGCGCTGTAAATACATAATTGCGAACCATCCTAGCTGTTTAGCTATTGACATATTCATGCTGCTGCACTCAGAGAGGCTTTCCATCGTGAGTGCTTGTTCTGTCCTCTGATTTGAGCACAGAATGATGCTCTCTCACTGAAAAGACAGGTTAATGAGCATGGCTGTTTGGGAACTTTACAGAAGTGATTGTGCAGTAGAAGTGGAGATTCAATGAGCACGGTGGATCTGGAGACTGGCAAGCAAAAAGCAGCAGTTTAAAGTGCATCTATAAATCCACTTAATCCCTCTTAATACCTTGTGCCAGAGCTGAGTGGTTAAAAGAAACCCTTTGCCTGAATATTAATCCCGTCTCAGGCAAAAAAAAAAAAAGTTTCATTCTTATACACATCACACCAGGTTAAATCTATCAGTCTTACTTCAAATTTCAGTTTAGCGGTGGACCTAATGACTAAATATGTCCACAAAGAGGTGACAGTAACTTGGCTGGTATAATGTGCAACAGAGCTAGGGGAATCATGGGGAAAAGGCACTGAGCTTAATTGTACTTTGTATGTGTGCTTGACGGGTGTTTGGGGTTTTTGAATCGTGCAAGATGATAATGCAATTTGTGGGTCAGTTGCATGAAAAAGCAGTAAAAATGAAGAGTAAAGAATAGGTACAGGGCACCCATTCACTGTGGCAGCAAAAGTATTCAATTATTCTTCAAAGCTATTCTTAACCATTTAAACACAGGTTTCAGGTACTTCTTTGAAAGATAGAAGAGGGAATCAAATTAAGACCATTAGCAATGGACTTGGATTTATATGACAATAGGCTCTAAGTAATTCTACTGCTTGGTCAAGCGTAGCAATCAATCAAGATGGAAGAGAGAAAAATCTTCCACTTCAGTGCATGAGGTTAATTCCAGGGACTTCATCTCCTTTTCAATGCCAAATTAATTCTCTAGCATTAGTCTCCCAGGGCATTTGGATTTGGTTGCTTCAGTGAGCGGAGTTTGGAACTGAAATCTTGATCTCAGTAAAGTTAATAGTAATAGGATTTAAAAGATGAGGGAACCAGAATTTAGTGCACTGCAGTGGTGACAGAACTATTTAGTTTATTTTTAAAGTCTAATACTTTCTTCCCAAATCTTGTCCCTTCCAAACTGAGAGTCCAGACAGATTTCAGTGGGAAGAGGACTGTATCCAAATGGTAGACATTGTTTCCTATTATAACGTTCTCACCTTTTCTTGTCTTTTTCATAATACATTTTTTAGTTAGGTTCTCATTAATTAACATTCATTTCTGACACTTTGGAACATTTGATACAATGTCATGATGCTGATTTAGTTTAATGACTCAGTTTTAAAGCTAAAAAATATTTTTGCCTAACTTCAAAATTATTTGTGCTACTTTAAAAATACACTTTGAAACATTTAGTGGCTGACTTGGTCCCAGCAAAAGGGGTCTAGTGGTTTGACTATTTTATAAGTTTGTGTCATTACAGTTAAAAAAATATATATTTTATTTTCTGCCTCTTTCTTTTGGGCAAGTGGAAGTTGAGATTTGACAGTAGCTGCTGCATTGTGAGATACAGACAGAAAACAACAGTATGGCCCTGCTTCTGGAGCTTGTTCACTCTCATTCAGTGTCTGTTAACTTCAGTGAGACTGCATGAGGTTGCAGAGACTATGGGTTTTATTCTCTTAAGGTAGATGGGAGGAATCAAATCTGAATCTAACTTTTTTGGGAAATTTTCTAATTGCTAGACTATTAGGCATATAAGGAAGAGCAGAGGGAGGAACCCTGCTTCTTTTAGCATTTTAAGAAGAATGCATATTATAGTCCTGTTGGTGAATGTTAGTTGTGCGCTGGGAATGCTTGCCAGGTTCACTTCTCAGGGGACTTAAGCAGAGGAATACCAGGGTTGTAGAACCCAATTCGGCTTACACATGAGCTAGTGCTGAGCTTGTCAGCCATGTCTGAGATGCTTCTGTGCAGGTAAAGAAAGTAGACCTTTGAAGTAAGTAAGTACTTTTTGAAAATAAAAGGTATTGTGCCTGTCGAGTTCAGGAGTTCCCAGCATTAGGTGACTGCTGAGATGGGTTTCTCAGGATCTTGACTTTGAATCTGGAATTTAGGAAATAATTTCCATTTCAGGTGTCAGGCGTTGTATGCATCTTCAGATCTGGCCACATCTCAATACCAGTATTACTACAGATAAAGACCCTAACAGATTGGCTTTACTCTGCTGTAATCAGCTTTTGTACAGGTATAAACAAAGTGTGTGTGCATTTATCTATCTACCTATCCATCTATAGATACACCCCCCCCCCCTACCAATTGCCTGTCAAGAATGAGTGGGGGGAGGAGGGCTGGAATAGAGTCCTGCCACCTAATGCCCCATGGTGCTGCTCTTCTGCCTCTTGCAGTGAGTGGAGTGGGGGAGCCGAGGGTAGTGCTGCTGTCTTGGCTCCTCCACCCCCTGTCCAGTCCTCGGCACGGCTTCAGAATGATGGTGGCACTCCCCCACGCTTGGAGCACTCTGATTGGCTGTTTCTGTCAGCCAGTCAGAGTGCGAATAAAGTGTTATGGACAGACAGACAGACAGACAGAGACTTAGGCTTTTATAATATTAGATAGAATATCTATTATAGAATCTATAGAATGTCTATTAGATCTCTCTCTACCTAATATTATAAAAGCCTAAATCTGTCTGTTCATAACACTTTTTATATACATATATATATAGAGAGAGCGAGATAACTTATCTCTATTAGATATACATCTATGCATAACTGTATCAATATATGGATGGATGGATGGATGGATGGATGGATAGACAGATACAGATCAATCTATCTCTCTATCTATAAAACCACTATGCTGGTGTAACTTGGAAGCTCATGGGACAAACTGTGCCATTTTAAGATAGACCAATGTAAGTGCTGCATATACTTCCTTCCTGGGAGAGTCATTTGCTACTGGCAAACAGGTTATTTATTCCAAGTCTATGGCCAGTTACTATAATGGCACCAGCTGTGAACAGCTAGGCTGGAATAGCTGCTTGTCTGTTCACTATAATTCCTGGTTTAATTTACATGAGTGTATACAAGTGATGTAAATTACATTGATGTAAATGTGTTATGTGTCTTGACTCTAAGAGGCCTCCTAGAAACATTCAAGCTTGTACATCTCAATAAATTAGACTCAGATATTCAAAGGAGGCTGGTGCTAAGCTTTCATTTGGACTTTTTCTGATGTTTGGATATTTTATATTGGGACAACTGGAGGAAGTTTGTATTTTAAAATGTATATTAGAGATTATACTTCTTTTGTAGTGTAATAAAGAAATAATTATAAAGCCTGTTTCTTGCGAGACTTTGACAAAATTATTTCCTTGCCCATGATATTGCTATGAAACATTTTTGGCACATTTAATGTTACTGTAAGATGTTATCCTGTTCATTCTGTGTTTTCCCCTTTTACAGGAAACGTAGGCAGAGATTCCATTTGAATTCTGCCCAAACTAACTCTGACTTTTATATGGCTAAGCAATCTTCCCAGGACCTGTATTTTCTTTTAAAGCATTTGTGTGAAGAAAATGATACAAAAGAGTGCAAGTATGTTGCATCAAATAACTTTTTAAAAGAGGAAATTAAATTGGACATTTCAGTGATGGCAGCAAAAGGGACTTTTCTCATTGGGAGATTATTGAAAAACGCAAGAAAACAAGGAGTGGTGAGGAATAAACACCCTGCTTTTTGCTGTGGATCAGATAAACAAGCACAACAAGAGGCAGACTAATGTCTGTCCTTGTCTCTTCTGGAGATGTAGCTGTTCCATAGATTCTTTTGCAAGCAACTGCCCAAGCCTTTGTATATCTTTATGCATGAGCAGTATCTTGGGACCTCCCTTTTGGGGCTGCAGGAAAAGTAAAAAAAAAAAAAACCCAAAACCAAAAAACTGTGTGTGTGTGTTTTCCTCTTCGGAATTCATCAGCCCATGGCGTAGCTGAAAGGGAAATCTAAGGAGCAAATATTTGAGCTATTTTGTACCATGACTCAGATTCATCCTTTTCTGGATGTTGATTGAGGAGAGGAGCCTTACTAGGCTCCTCAGAGTGAACACCATTCAAATATAAGGAAGGGTAGATTTGCATAACAGGTGAAATAATAGCAACAGGGGGTCCCAGCAAAGCCCTAGGACACTACTTATCTACTAATTTACAAACACGAGAGTTCACAAAATATAAGGCATGCCATCATACCACTTAGTGCGCAGGAACCCCAAAGATAAATTTAATCCTAAGGGGAAACCCCAATGCCTCAATGCCCTTGGGCTTTTCCCAAGTCCTACAAGGAAGTTGGTAACTTTAGGGGAGCCCTACCAGTGGGACCTCCACTTTCAGGAGCCCTTAATTAACCAGGAGGGACTCCCCTCTCCCGTGGGAATCCTCTTCCCTGCAACTCACAGCTCCCAGGCCTGGAAGGTGGCCCTCGTCCTCTGCGCCAAGCTGCTCTCTCGCTTGTAGTGGGCTTCGGGGGTGGGGAGCAGTTGCTGTCCCCTGGAACAGGGTTCCTCTATGCAGGGCTTCTGGGGCCTCTAGCTTGGCCCTGTCTGCTGGCTCAGGAGCCCAAGCACCGTCTGGCTCCCTGGACTCAACCTTTTGCTTTGGGTCGGAGGCCTAGGCTGCCTTGTGCACTGCCTCCTGCACTGAGCTCCCAGCTTCGTTCCGATGGTTGAGGATCTGAGCTGCCCAAGCGCTCCAAAGGTCCTACTCTGTGTACCGTGTCTCTGGCTGCACACCAGAGGTTGCAGACCCGACCCGCCTCGTGCAGCTACCAGGGTCTGGGTGTTGTGTGCCATGCTGCACAGTGAGAGCCTAGCTGCTGGAGCCGTTCCCCGCTGATAGAAGTCTTCAGGGGCACTTCTGGGCTACTGCTTCGCCCTGCTGAGCAGCTCTCCTCAGCTCTAAGCCCCGCTCTTCTCACTCCTGAATCTTCTCTGTCCCGGGTGTGTTCTCATGCTGGGCCCACAGCTCCTTTTATACTGCCCAGGGCTCCGCCCCTGAAGTCTTCCAGACCTGAGTGTTGCAGTCTACAATCAGGTCTGAGGGTGGGGAGGAACTCCTCTCCCCCTCCCCTCAGGGAAGGGGCATGACTTCACTCCTCTTGCTGCCTCCTGATTGGTGGATGGGCTCCACCAATCAAAACAGCAAGATTTCAAGCCTGGGACTCAACCCAAGCTCCAAAAGGCAAGCCTGCTACAGAAGGAAGGGTGTTAAGCTATCTGTTGATTAGCTGCAAAAAGCCTGTCTGCCTGTCATCTCCCATAGCACGGACCATAGCCAGTGTGTGGTCTGTTAGCTAATGCTGAGGTGTCTGTGCAAAGCAGAGGGGAGGGGGAATAATCCCTGCTTGGCAGGGAGAAGCCAGGCAGATACTCTGTGCCTGCAAATCTGTGCTGAGCTGCAGCCAGGGAGCAGAGGGGAGGGGCCAGCCCTGCAGTGGAGCAGAGAGCCCCACCCAGCCCAGAGAGCATTCTGGGATGCTGGGAGTGTCTGGGTTAGCTTAAACCAGAAGGGGTCTGGGACAAACATTGCATAAACTGGTCTGATCCAAACCAGTTAAATCTGATGCTACATTCAACCAGGTTTATGTCAAACCAGTTTCAACCATTTTCAAACTGGTTTATGTACACTGAACATCTGTTCTGTTACAGGTTTAAGCAAGTTTCTGATCACTTAAACTGCTGTATGTGTAATGTCCGTCTCTAGCCTTGTAGTCTAGAGCTCATTGCCCAGAATAACCACCAGATGTCACTACAGGTACAAACACACAGCAACCTACCAAGCAGAGGTTTGCTTAATTTCTCTATATATTTTCTGAGCATCTGAAAAACTAAAACATCTTAATTCCTGGGGAGGGAGTAGTGCAAGGGGGCAGCTTACGTCAAAGAATGTAGTGGATCTAAAATGCCAAGTTGATCTGAAGTTATATAACCTTGGAATAGAAGCTTTTCACACTCTTTATTTGCCTGGAGCTAAGCATTGCTACCTTGTTTGTATTATTTGACAGACAGATGTCTCCTGAGCTGCATGTGCAGTCTATTGAAATTATCATCATCTTTTCTTGACAAGCTGAGATTTAGAAAGAAAAGCACAGGAGTAGGCAAATTTGAAATTCAAGTAGTGTAGAATGCTATTGTACGCTAAGAAGAGAATCCTGACCTTACATTCTAGTTTTAAATATTTTTTTAACACTAAAACAATCCCAGATTATTTTAGAATCTAAAATTTCAA